TTCTTGGTGCACGCAGCTATCTAACTGTATTTTTATTTGTTCTAGTACAAACTTTTTCAAGCCGTTTGGAGTGGCAGTAGTATTGCATCGTTGAAGACAAAAACAGCCTAGTCAGGGAAGTAATAGTCACTGTACTTTTTGTATTCATGCCTCACATTTGATTTTTATATTGATTTAGTTCAGATTGTTACTTTTACTGTTTTTTTATTTGTTCTAGTACAAACTTTCTTCAAGCCGTTTGGAATGGCAATATTGGATTGTGGAAGACAAAATAGCCTAGTCCGGGAAGTAATGGTCAGTATACATTTTTTTATTTATGCCTCACTTTCTGTGCTCCCCAACAGATTTGAAGGGTTCAGGAAAAAAAGGGGCCTAGTCACAATTACCAAAATGTTCAGAAAACCAAATTTAATTTAGACTGACTAAATACAAACTTTTGCTACTTTAAGGTAATTGATTACAAAAAGATGTTACTTTGTTTAAATGTTGCCTGATTATATTGTAGTTCACCACTTAATTTACCAGACAGTTGTAATTTTTTATTTTAAATACTGAAAATGACAAACAAACAGTAGCAAAGTCCTTGGACATAATTTTAAATGCACTGTTTTGCATTTGCTAATACTGGTATTTTACAAAATAGGGCGGACCAGTTCAATTTTGATAAAAATGTGGCTTAGCTGTTTTTTTCTTCCTGTACCCTTCTTGATTTATAAGTTGATTAATATTTATTTTTTGTTTTAGATAAAACTCTTCAACTCTATGGACAATGACTTAACTTTCCAGCTAATTAACACGCTACATTTAATTATTCTATTTTGTATGTTTTTTTTTTGTTTAATAAATTAATTTTGTTGATCATGCTTTTTAATTTTTTGTAAAAATATTTCAACTTGTAGTCAAGTTAGGATTGGTTCATACTACTCATTTTTTGCTTTATTGTAACAAATATAATTTTATTGCTACAATAAACGTAAAAAAGGAGTTGGTATGGACAAATCTTAATTTGACTACCACTTTTAAACTAAACCAGGACCATTTTGAATGTTCCCCGCGTTTTGTGTTAACTAAAGTGACCGCGAGATGGCGCCACTTCCGCCAAATAGTTCAAAGAACGCTCACCGGGTGTTACAAAACTGTCTCAAATTTTAACATTGCAGTTTCCATTCTAAAAGTAATTGTTCTGTGGTGTTCAATGTTCATGATTCGATAATATATACCATATTGCACTCTGTGAGTTTGTGGTTGATTAATTTTTTGCAGTTTGTACCATTTTTATGTCTGAGAAAGGTGGAAGTTTTCTAGTGAATACTATAAAGCTAACAGGTTAGTGAATTCATAATATCTAGCAGGGCAAACTTAAACAGACTGGATTTTCATATTGATCTGCCTTTCATTTTAAATAAGTGATTAAATTATTTTCAGGTTCAGCTGAGAAGGCAAAAATGGCCAAATCAAGAAAAAAGATGTCAATCCAGGCATGGTTAAAAAGGGCAAAGTAGAAAATTTTACGAAAATGTTTTAATAATTTTATTATTTATAGGTTATTTGCTTCCAAATAAATTTTTCCTTAAATATCCTGTATTTCTCTATTTAAGCTTTTGAAAATGTCCATGGAAAGTTCGTAAATGGACGTTCTTCAAACATTCTGATTATTAACAATGGATATTCCAATGACGTCCATAAGACGTCCAACTCCGTGAAATGGACGTTGTAAGGGTGTCCTGAATATCCAAGGAGGACGTTTTTAATACGTAATAATCGATTGTTTACATACAGTATGAACAATATGGGTCCCAAAATTGAACCCTGAGGAACTCCCATAATTATATCTAGTGTATCAGAATTAATAGTATTGATATGTTGTCGTTTTGTACTTTTAAAGAAATATATATTGCTTCCTAACACGTAAAAAAGTTGAGATCCAATTTAAAACAGTGCCTCTGATTCTATATATTTCACCAATATATTTAATAGCAACTCTTGGTTTACACAATCGAATACTTTACTAAGATCGCAAAATATAGCAGCTGGGCATTCAGATGCCCAGCCGCCCCAAATGGTGAATAATTTTATTGTAAAATGAAAGCATAGCAGTTGAAGTTAATTTTTCAGCACAGAATTCATGCTGATTTCCTGTTATAATGTTGTAACTTTTCAAGAAAGACAGAAGACGATCAAGAAAGGCATATTCAAAGATTTTAGACAGACCACAAGGAATAGCAACAGGTCTATATTTTCTATTTGTCTACGATCATTTTTCTTGTGCAATGGTAAAACTTTCCCCAGTTTTAAAGCTTGAGGAAAACTGCCCATCTCAAATGATAAAGTTACCAAACATGTTAAAGGTTCAAAAAGAACATCTAATACTTGTTTTAGTACAAAACATGGTACGTCATCGGCTCCAGATTTTCTGTTTTTAATTTTTCTAAGTAATAAATTTAATAATTCTGTGTGAAACTTCCGCAGACAAACACTAATAGATATCACTTTATCCACAACTATAAATCAATTCTAAACTGGCAAGTGTCTAATAACATTTCGATGTCAGACCAACGCTGGTTAACATTCAAAATAAACTTGATGTTGCCGACCTCCACGCTATCTCGGAACCCTAGGAAGACGGACAGGGCAACCTATGCCCACCTTCTCCAAGACGCTCTAAGAGAGATGGAGGCCGAAACACCAAACAATAACAATGCTTTGAAGAAGTACTCGAACACTATCCAAAGCATAATAAATATATATAAGAAATCATGTCCCCTGAGGCTGGTCCAACACGATCAGACGAATATCGCATGGTGGTGTCACGAGTTGGATCACCTCAGGAAGATGGCTAGGAAATCCTTTAATAAGGCAAGAACCTCAAAGAGGACTGGGATACTTACAAATCTCACTTCAAAAAGCTCTCTTAAAAGATCCACATCAAAGCATTGGTGCGCTAATAATCAAAGAGGATGGCACGAAAACTGCTAACCTCGAAGATAGAATCAAACTTCTGCTGTCAACACACTTCCCTAATTCGGTCATCACAGACGTGGCCGACTGGGCAGAGAAAGAATACAATCCATCGTCTATAATTGGCAAACTGCCAAACACATTGTAGACGATGAAAAATGAGATAGGCAATATCCAGCTTCTCTTCATTTAAATCGCTAGAACCTGACGGTATCTATCAAGCCCTACTTCAGTGGGGTCTAGAAGAACTCACACCGCACCTGGTGGGTATATTCAGATCCTCTTTGGCCCCGAGGTATATCCCCAAAAAAATTGAGAGAGGTAAAAGTGATAATTATACCAAACCTGGAAGGATGGATTACACTATCCCAAAAACATACCGACCAACTAGTCTTACATCGTTTTTAATGAAGACATTGGAAAGACTATGCGAAAGGTACATAAGGGATGCGGTGATTACAACAACACCACTACACCCAAACCAACATGCATACATCTGGCCGGATAGAGAGATCCCTGGACAATAAGAAGTCCGCCTTGGGTGTTTTCATAGACATAGAAGGTGCTTTTGATAAAACTACCTTCCCCAAGATAATACACTCACTAACGAACATGATCCTCAACACCTTCATCAGCCGCCTCAATAATAACAGTCACTACACAATAGCATATGCAAATGACCTGGTCATTCTGCAAACACTGTTTATCAATCCTAAGAAGACTGAAATGGTCCTTTTCACAAGGAAAATGATGAAAATGGAATTAAAACCTCCAGAACTCCTAAACACAAAACTAAACTTTGCAACAGTAATCTGTCAAAAGGATATCGTCGATAATAGATGATCCTAGATAAGATACAAAGATCGTAAAATCGGTTTGAGGCTCTGAATATGGGAAGTCGATAAGCAAATTGGTTAGGCGGATGCTGTTTGGGTTTGAGTTGTGATCTCCGAACAAGGTATATCTGAAGTTCAGATATCTAAGCAAAACAGCAACGACAAAGTGATGATAGACCAATGTTCGTCTTGTTGAGTCGACTGTAAGTTCTTGCAATTGAGGATGTATCTTGTCCTGATTGGATGAAGGACACTGTCTGACGTTTCGTGTGATTTCTTTGCAGAATAAAGATAGAATATTGTCATTTGCAACTGTAGATTTGTTTTAACGGTCTATTTTTCACCATACTTATATTAGCGAGAGTGAAACAGATTTTTAAGTGTGAAGCAGTTTTTTGAGTGTGAAGAAGCTGGCGCTAATGCTTAAATTACTGATAATTTTCCATTAAGAAGATAGATAATTCAGGCGCTAGATGTTTGTAAATAAAATGCAGGTGTGCAAAATATGTTTTTCCTGGAATTCAAAAAACAGTTAAATTGTATTTACTGTTGCTATGGGCCTGAGCCGGCTTCCAATTTTGTGAAAGATTTTTAAATTCAGTGATACAATGTATTGAATGAATAATAAAATATATTGTTGTTTATTATATATTATTTATACGGGGTGATTTATGTGGTAACTGAAGTATTTGTGAAAACATTTTTGAATAGTATTGTTCTTCTGAATCCGTAATTATTTAAAAGTTTTTTATCAAATGCTTTTGCAAGATACGACAAAAATGCGCAATGATGGTTTTCTTTCTTTAATTCTCATATTTATCAATTTTTCGTTGGTTTGTTTTCACTTATATTCCCATAAGGGTGTAATTTTTAGAATTTTGTAGGGAAAATTAGGGATTCATTTTAATAATTTACAAAATTATCAACCGATTTATTTATAAGATGAGGGCCGAGAAAGTAGTAAAAACAATCATGTTCCAAGATATATTTAAGGCTGACTTAGAAACGTTCTTACATATTAAAAACAAATTAAAAATAACTCACTTTGAACATCTTGTAACAAAAACAATGTAGCAATTATTGTAAAGAACCACAATTTTTCTAAAATAGTTTCTGAATTAATACTAGATTATTTTTTTAGGTTCAAAACGTATTCTACTAGCATAATACATTTATTATTCAATATTTTGAACAAATAATATTTTAGCATATTCTTAAATGTAATTTCACAATATTTTAGCAAAATAAAAATATAAATTAATATTTATTTACACTTAACACCAATTTATCTTCTGCATTTATAATATTTCTAAATCACAATGTCGAATTTCTGGGTATTTTTTCTGAAACAAAATTAAAATTTAATTACTACTAGATAAATTCATATAAAAACTGTAAATAATAGTAATACTGTTATGTGAGCCATTTCATTATTCAGTCATGCTCTAACCCTCCAAGTCCCTCTCTGTCTTATTTGGCCTTTTGAGGCTCAACTTGTCCGATTATTATACATAATTAAACCCCTTAAGACCAAACCTATGGGACGACTATGGCGGAGGTGATTTCGATGACTATTCGAGAAAAGACGGGATAATATTTCTGGTCTATTCCAAATATTTCTAGTTTGGTGGAGAAGCTTCTAGACTCCACCAAAGTTTAGAAATTTGTATATAAATATTGGTGCATGAGCCATCAGAGTTAGTTAGTTATTATATGGACAGTGAAGATAAATAGTAATTAGTAGATAGACAGTGGTGAATATAAATAGTGATCAGTTTAAAGACATTCGAAGTATATATAAATTAGAATAGTTGTGTTATAGTTGTTTTAAAGTAAACAAACATCACATTGGTGTGGCGAAGTGAGATAGTGTAAATAAATAGTGGACAATAATGGCTAAAAAACTGTGTGACTTAAAAGTGCCTGAGCTACGTCGAGAATTAGAAGAACGTGAACTGGAGACGGCAGGGAAGAAATCAGAGCTGGCACAACGATTTAAAAAAGCACTAGAAAATGAAGGTTTGGATCCGGAAACGTTTCTATTTTCGGATGATGCGTCTTCTATAATTTCTTCAATTTCCGATATGAAAAACGATATGTGTTCTTTAAAAACTGATATTTCATCCGATTTTGATACTAAAATGTCTTCCATAGAAAATAAAATGTCTTCTGATGTTTCTTCTATAAAAAGTGATATTTCCTGCTTAGAAACTAAAGTTTCTTCCGACACATCTTCCTTGGATGGTAAAGTTTCTTCTTTAGAAAATAAAGTTTTGTCTGATATTCCTTCCTTAGAAGAAAAGGTGTCTGCAGAAATGTCTTCTATAGAAATTAAAGTCTCCTCTGATATATCTTCTATAAGAAATGAGATTTCTTCCGTTGAGAATAAAATAATGTCTTCCGTTGAGGAGAAAATAAAAAAAATAGAAAAGAAGAAAGAACACGTAGACCAAACCAAGAACAATGAAATAAAGTGCCATGAGGTGGAGTCGAAGTTGAAATTGGAAGGAGCTGTAAACTCTTCTCGGGTTAAAGCCCCAACTTTTGACGGGAAAATGTCATGGACAAACTACCTTAAGCAGTTCGAAACGGCTGCCAGAGCAAACGAGTGGTCTGAACGAGAAAAGGCAATAAATTTGACCATCGCTCTTCGAGGAGACGCTTCGGATGTCCTTCAGACTATAAACGTGGAAGAGATAGATGATTTTGAACAACTCAAAAAGAGACTAAATATGCGATATGGCCACGAACACTTGGATCATTTATACCAATCACAGTTGAAGAATCGTAAACAGAAACGAGACGAGACTCTTCAGGAATATGAAGTAGATATTGCCAGGTTGGTGCGATTTGCCTATCCATCAGCTCCGGAAAACATGATAGAATGTTTGGCAGTCCAAACATTTGTTGATGGACTCCGTGACCACGAGATGCAAAAAACACTTCGTCTAGCCCGTCACAAAACATTGGTCGATGTCTTGTCCGCTGCCCTTGAATATGAGACAGCTACACAGGCCTCTGGTGGATACAATAAAGTGAGGACCTTAAAAGAGGAAGAAGAGGAAGGTAAACTCGATCAACTGGTGAATATGATGAAGAGCCTTACTGACAGAAAGATAAAGACGAAGACTATCAGGTGCTGGAATTGCGGTGAACTGGGACATGTACGCAGTTCGTGCAAACGCCCTAGGGTCCCAACAAATCAAGACAACACGCCACAGGAAAACTGGAGCGGGTCGGCCTAGAGGGGGCAGCTTCGACCCGAAACCGTTCCAAAGACCCTCTCATACTGATAGCCTCTTTGAAATGTCGCGATGATAGTGTATACGTAGACGGCGAAGTAAATGGCAAAAAGTATACACTGTTGGTGGATACTGGAGCAACTAGGACTATTATACGACCAACAACTATAAATAATCGTAAGAAACTTCTACCAACAAGATTGCGACTACTGACTGCCACAGGTGAAAGTGCCAACATCCATGGGGAAATCCAGGTTCAATTGGGAATTGGTACACAAAAGTTCACTCACACTGTTATTGTCGCTGATATCGAAGAAGATGTTATTCTTGGAATGGATGTAATGAACTTATATGGTTTCCAGTTGGACTTTAAAAACAGAGTGATCAAAGTTAGTGCCGAAGAGGTATTCCTACATCCATATGGGAACAGTACCGTGCCAGTTGCTGTACATGAGGATATGGTGGTACCCGGTAGAAGTGAAACCGTTATAGTAGCACGGCTTCAAGAAACTATGGAAGAAGGAACACCTGTCATGATGGAACCTTAGAACCACGATGAAGAGGTTGGACGAGGCATTCTGATCGGAAAGGGGTTGATCACGACTTCTAAAGAAATTCCAGTCCGTTTTATAAACGTTAATGATCACCCGATTACCATCAAGAAAGAGACCAGAATCGGAACTTGTGTACCAGTAACTTCCATAATTCGTCAGACAACAACTTTTGATAATTCCAACGACAAATTTGAGCAAATGATTGCAGTTGCTGGTCAATCTCTGAATCCATTAGAGAAAAAGAAAATCAAGGAATTTCTTCGACGATATCGTGACATTTTTGTACCAAAAGGAGGAAAACAGGGAGAACTTCTGTTATAAAATACAAAATTGACACTGGTGACGCCAGGCCGATTCGTCTATCAGCTCGACGATTACCAAAGGCCAAGAGAGAGGAACCTGAAAGGATTGTTCAGGAAATGAAGGAAGACAGGGTGATAGAACCTTCTACCAGCCCATAGGTCTCTCCGGTAGTCCTGGTCCAGAAAAAGGATGGAACTACGAGGTTATGTGTAGATTACCGTCAGTTGAACAATGTAACCAAGAAAGACAGTTATCATCTTCCTCGAATCGACGATACCTTGGACACATTGGCCGGGAGTAAACTATTTTCTACCTTAGACCTAAAGTCTGGATATTGGCAGGTGGAAATGGACCCAGTAGACAAAGAAAAGACAGCTTTTACCACCGGATCTGGATTGTGGCAATTCAATGTCATGCCATTTGGACTATGTAATGCCCCCGCGTCATTTGAAAGATTTATGGAAAATGTATTGAGAGGGTTATCATGGAAAACGTGCCTGGTATATTTAGATGACATTATAGTCTTGGGGAAAACATTTGATGAACATCTAAAGAACTTGGAAGATGTTTTTAAAAGAATTCAAGCTGCCCAACTGATGCTAAACCCCAAGAAGTGCCATCTATTCCAAAATAAAGTTAATTACCTGGGTCATGTAGTCAGTAAGGATGGCGTGGCTGTAGATAAAGAAAAAGTCGCTTCTATTAAAGAGTGGCCACAACCAAAGGACAAACACCAAATAAGAAGTTTTCTTGGGCTTTGTACGTACTACCGAAAATTCATTAGGAAGTTTGCAGATATTGCCAAACCACTAACGCGACTCACAGAAGAAGCGATATAATTCTGCTGGGACGAAGACTGCCAAACTGCCTTCGAAACTTTAAAGAAGCATTTAACAACAGCACCAATACTAGGCTATCTACTACCAGAGAAAGAATTTATCCTGGATACTGACGCTAGTAATGTGGGAATTGGAGGAGTGCTTTCACAGATTCAGGAAGGGAACGAAAGAGTACTAGTACTAGTACTTAGTAAAGTACTCTCGAAACCTGAACGAAATTACTGCGTCACAAGAAGAGAACTCCTGGCAGTTGTAAAGTGCGTGGAACACTTCTACCAATATCTGTACGGAAGGAAATTTTTAATCCGGATCATGCAGCCCTTAAGTGATTGATGCAATTTAAGAACCCAGAGGGCCAAATAGCCAGATGGATTGAACGACTTCAAGAGTACGACTTTAAGATCGAACATCGAGCCGGAATAAGCCACAGAAATGCCGATGCTCTTTCTAGAAGACCATGTCCAGCAGAGTGCTCCCACTGCAACAAAGCGGAATCCAAAGAAAGTGGACTACTAAGAACAACTGTAGTCAACGATGAGTGGGCCCCTGCTAAAATTAGGGAAGAACAAGAGAATGATACCGTTTTAAAGAAGATGCGACAATGGAAAGTGGAAAATCGTCGACCTACTTGGCAAGAAGTATCTAATCTCTCTCCAGTACTTAAGTCGTATTTGGCTCAGTGGAACTCCTTTATTCTAGAAGATGGCTTATTAAAGCGAGTACTTGAAAATGATGATGGTTCTGAGAAGAGAAGACAGTTGGTCATTCCAAGAAGTAGAGTAGCTGGATGAACAGTTCCAATGATGTAAAGGACTGGTATAAGAAATGTACCACCTGCGCTATGAGTAATGAACCTCAACGAAAAAGGAAGGCTCCCATGAAGCAATATAACGTTGGTAGCCCATTTGAGAGGATCGCCTTAGATATTGTTGGACCATTCCCCGCGACCGAGGATGGTAATAAATACATTTTGGTGGTTATGGATTATTTTACAAAGTGGGTGGAAGTCTATGCCATTCCAAATCAAGAGGCCGCAACTGTTGCAGATGTATTGATAAAAGAGTTTATCTGTCGATTTGGAGTGCCCTTGGAGATTCACAGTAACCAAGGCAGAAATTTTGAAAGTCAACTTTTCCGTGGAATCTGTGACAGACTAGGCATGAAGAAAACCAGAACCACAGCATTGCACCCACAATCCGATGGAATGGTAGAGCGAATGAATAAGACTATTGGCAAATATCTGTCAAAAGTGGTTTCAAACCATCAGCGAGATTGGGATCAGTATCTTTCGCTCTTTGCAATGGCTTATAGATCCGCTGTCAATGAATCAACATGCCAAACACCAGCAAAGGTCTTGTTTGGGCGTGAGATGAGACTACCGTGCGACCTCGAGTTTGGATGCCGACCTGGAGAAGATGGTAGCTGGTGAAGATTATGTAATCCAGTTACGAAGAAGAATGGACGACATGCATGAATTAGTTCGCTCCCATCTTCAAATCGCCAGCGACAGAATGAAGAAGCGATACGATACCCAAGCAACAGAAGGATGTTTCAAAGAAGGCGACAAAGTCTGGCTCCATAACCCAAAAAGACAAAAGGGTTATTCTCCGAAGCTTCGAAGGTCTTGGGAAGGTCCGTACCTAATCAAGAATAAAATAAATGATATGATTTACCGTATAAGTAAGATCCCAAACGGTAAACCGAAGGTAGTTCACCAAAACCGGCTGGCTCCATTTGAGGGTGACCATGAAGAAGAAGTAAACCAACTTCGAGAAACACCTGACCTTGTCTTTGAAGAATTTATGGGTGCGTATGGAGGTACTGGAAAAGCCAAATATGGTGTTACGACCGAGCAACAACAAGATCTGCTCTCGCTTCCGAAAGACTACTCGTTGGTTCATAGTACTTCCGCCACCATCAACGACGCGCGAGGACTGGCATATGTGTTCCGTAAGAAGTTTGGTCGACTGGTAGAACTTCAATGTCAGTTACCAGCCTTGAAACTTCAAGACGGGTAGCGCTACCTTTTCTATTAGATAACGAAAAACACCTTCCGAGATCGATCCACCTATCAGGATGTATGGGAAGCATTACTCAGTCTGAGGGAGCATGTACTGGAGTCCAATGTACAGAAACTAGCCATGCCAAAGATAGAAGGAAATCAACTGGACTGGAGGATCATTATGAACATGGTAGAAGTAATCTTTCAAGATACCAGAGTCCAAATACTGGTCTGCAGCCATTCACCTAGTGCCCAGGTTACGGCGAAGACAGTCCCTTGTTATTTCCATGCAACTGGAAATTGTAAAAGAGAGTTCAGTTGCAGATACAACCATTCCATTTTAGTTTCGTAAGAGTTCCAGGAGGAACTATTTCTTAAGGAGGGGGCAATGTTATGTGAGCCATTTCATTATTCAGTCATGCTCTAACCCTAAAAGTCCCTCTCTGTCTTATTTGGCCTTTTGAGGCTCAACTTGTCCGATTATTATACATAATTAAACCCCTTAAGACCAAACCTATGGGACGACTATGGCGGAGGTGATTTCGATGACTATTCGAGAAAAGACGGGATAATATTTCTGGTCTGTTCCAAATATTTCTAGACTCCACCAAAGTTTAGAAATTTGTATATAAATATTGGTGGATGAGCCATCAGAGTTAGTTATTACATGGACAGTGAAGATAAATAGTAATTAGTAGATATACAGTGGTGAATATAAATAGTGATCAGTTTAAAGACATTCGAAGTATATATAAATTAGAATAGTTGTGTTATAAAATAAATAAGTGTTTAAATAAATTATTAATAAATAAACTGTTGTTTTAAAGTAAACAAACATCACAATACGCATATGTGCATGTTCCTATTATACTTTATTCAATTTAGTTTAAGATAATAATATTGAAAATTATAACAAAAGAGAAAACAAAAGTTTCCTTATAAAAAAAAAAACTTACTCTTAATTTCATTTCGATTCGATCAATTTCGCCACCCATCATATCAACTAAATTTTCTCCATGCTTAAGCATAAACTCTTCTAATTTATCAATATTGTCAATTGCTTTAATTTCCTAAAAAAAAAACAATTTATTAAAACTTTTTTGGAGCTATTGATATCAAAATGTATTTTATTATTTAACAAATTTAAGTGATGGATAAACAAAGTAAGACGAGTGTAGATTATGTGAGGAAGAGAATGAAACTTCCATTTAAAGATTCTCACCTCTAAAATATCATTTAATTCCATTTTATCCAAGTACGCTCTCGTAAGTTCTCTTCCATCGAAATCTAATTCAGCTTTGTATCTTACCAAATAGCTTCCCATATCTATTCCTTTTACGTCATGAATCGCTCTAATCATTATGTCTTTTTCTAATTCTTGATTAATCTTTTCTAAATTTTCTTCTGGAATTGATCTAAACAAAATTACTGTATTTTTTAGATGTAATATTTATGTTTTAATAAATATATTCTATACTTTAATTGTTTACATTTTTTTATACATCATATACTAAATCTTACCTTCCTACAAGAGCAGCAACATTTGTATAAATGATAAAAGAAGCGACTGATCCTAAAATACATCCTACTAGTATAGATCCCATAGCATCCGGAATCGGACTATTAGTAAGAGAAGAAACGCCCATACATCCGGCCGCTACAATAACTCCTATCACAGCTGCAAAATCTTCCAGAAGGACAACGTTAACACTAGGATCTTGTCCTCTGAAAACTAAAAACCTTTTCATAAACAAAACAAAGTAAATCAATAAATAAAAACAAGATTTTTTTTGAGCAATGTGTCAGACAATAACGGTTCCTTTTCGGAAAACAACAACTACTCCTTTGGATAATAGCAGAGATAAAAAATTAGTTTCAACTTAAATACTTTTTCAAATCGCCCAATATGTTCCATTTTAAAACATAAAAATTGTACAATAAATGTTAATAAAATAAGAAACTTACTGTAATCTTTTACTGACATATTTACTTCCCTAGCACCTCTTCTTATAGAGTTAAATGCAACCAACCAGGTAGCACCTTCGGAGACAAGTGAGCCGGCCAAAATAAAATATGCCTAAAAGAAAGGTAACATTATTTTTTTTTCTTGATCACAAAATAGAAGGGATAAAGGAAGCCGTACTTTTCTTATGCAAAGTAGCGACCAGTCAAATTTTTTGAATCTTTGTACTCGACCTAGAAACCAAGCGTCAATGGGCCTCAATCCTCAATTAAAGTTGAAAATTGCAGTTTCTCGGAATTTTTATTTTCAAACTTATAAGCATCATTTAATTTCTAATATCTTACACAGGTTTACTATATGTTTTAGTAATATATTCATACATACGTACATTTAAAAATATTTATAATTTACAGGGCGATTTACAAATTTATGACGGTATGTTTATAAAATCTCACTATCTACTGCGACGTCAGGAAATCATATTTTCGAAAAGAACTATTTAATATAGTTTTTTGGCTACAAAATATTGCACAGTGCATAATTATTGTGCAAGGTGTTTTATAGAGAGATCCACAACATAAAATTATTTTTTTAAGGATATATTTAAAAATCAATTCATAAAAGTAAAAAAAAAAAACAAAGAACAACGAAAAAAATGATGGGAAAGTAAGGGGAAAATTCGGAAAAATTATGGAGATTTGTGGGGGAAACTCAGGGAAATGAGATAGGAATTCGGGAAAATGCGGAAATTGTGAGGGAAATCTAGAAAATTGTGGGGAATGTTGAAACATTGTTGGGAAATTCGTAAAAATTGTGGGGAATTGTGTAAGGAAATGTGTAAAGAATTTTGAAAAATTGTGAGGAATTTTGCGAAAATTAAAGGGGAATTCGTGGAAGATTTTAAGTAGCTGGAAAACCATCCAACTGAAGCAAAATTTCAACGTCACGAGAAAACTATCTAACCGAAGCAAAATTCCTCCCATGTCCTCCACAGATCCCTTACAATTCCTCCGCAATTTTTCAAAAGTACCCATAATTTTCCCAATTCATTTCCTCGCAATGTTTTCAAATTCTCCCCACAATTGCTTACATTTTCTCCAAATGCGCCACAATTTTTCCACATTCCACCCATATTTCCCCACAATTTTCACAAATTCCCTTCACAATTCCCACATTTTTTTTCCGAATTCCTCCTCATTCCCCCAAGTTCCCCCACAATTCCTCACAATTTTTTTCGTTGTTTGTTGTTTTTGTACTTTTCTTGACCTCAAAATTATGAACGGGTAGTTATCAATTTAATTTCTTTGTGGCACAACTGTTGAATTATTGATTGTTTGCAAAAATATATTACAATTTATTCGTGAATCACTTCGTAACAGTAAATATTTTGAATTATTCCTTTTTACTTTCCTATCTGTATACAGATATAAGGAAAGTATAGGAATCATGATTTTTTTCGACCTCGAGTTTTCGACGGATTTTTACGTTTTGAAGTCCCCTGAATCCGTTTTGACTATTTTCGCGATGATGTCGTGTGTGTGTGTGTGTGTGTGTGTGTGTGTGTGTGTGTGTGTGTGTGTGTGTGTGTGTGTGTGTGTGTGTGTGTGTGTGTGTGTGTGTGTGTGTGTGTGTGTGTGCGTGCGTGCGTGTGTGCGTGTGTGCGTGCGTGCGTGCGTGCGTGCGTGCGTGCGTGCGTGCGTGCGTGCGTGCGTGCGTGCGTGCGTGCGTGCGTGCGTGCGAGCGTGCGCGTGCGCGTGCGCGTGCGCGTGCGTGTGCGTGTGCGTGTGCGTGTGCGTGTGCGTGTGTGTGTATAACGCATAACTCATGAACCGATACACAGAAAAACACCAAATTTTAAACTTAAGCTTTGTTTCAGCGTCCAATGAGCTGATTAGATTTTGGGCAGAGTCGGAACATCTGGGGGAGTACTTTATGGGTGGGCATTTTTATATTTTATGGAATATATCTGTTATTTACGTTTGTAGAAGAAAATTCTTCTAATAAAAGTTACTTCTAATATAATTATCTATAATTTTTGTTTTATGCAAAATTTTCCTAAAATAGTCCGTATTCGAGAAATTTGACAAAATGTAAAAAAAATAATTTTTTATAAAAATTGTTCAAATAAAAATTGTTTGTAATATAATTCTCTTTAATTTTTATTCTATACATAATTTCTCTAAAATGGACCGTATTCGAGATATTTGAGAAAATGTGTAAATTTCGAATTTTGAAGAAAACTCAAAAACGGATAAAGAAAAAACATTAAATTTGAAACTTAAGGTTTATTTCGGCCTGACGTGAAATGATTAGATTTTGGACACAGTCGGAACATCTGGGGGGGTACTTTATGGGAGGCCACTTTTATATTTTATGGAATATATCTGTTATTAATGTTTGGAGAAAAAAATTGTTCAAATAAAAGTTACTTCTAATATTATTATCTATAATTTTTGTTTTATGTAAAAATTTCCTGAAATGGTCCGTATTCGAGAAATTTGACAAAATTTGCAAAATTCTGATTTTTATGAAAGTTTTTGAAATAAAAGTTGTTTGCGATATCGATCTCTATAAGTTTTGTTTATACATGATTTTTATAAAATGGACCGTAATGAAAAAATTGTAGGAAATTTAAATTTTTCATTATTTTCGTTTTCCATGAATATCTATAGAAAAATGTTTCGAGGTAGATATATGTGGACAATGTATATATTTAGTTTATCCTCTAAACATTTATAGAGATGCTGCAATAGGTTGAACAAAATAACCGGAAAAAGCCTATAATAACTAGATAGGAAAGTCATGTGTTGGACACATCAGATTTTTATGTACATCTAACCAAAACTTAAATTAAACCTGTATATGATACATAAAGCCAATACAGCTTTTCAGTTTTGAAAAAAAAAATAACTCAAATCAGGAATTTTGCACCCTGGCACCCTCTCGAAAACTGGAATATCAGATTTAAAATTCACACCTCTTAGGAAGGTGGTAAAAGTATTATATACTCAAAAAATGGTTACATTTGACCGGGGTCATTTTAAGTAGCCGAAAACCGATCCAACTAAAGCAAAATTTCATGGTCACGAAAAAACTATCTAAAAAAAGCAGAATTCCCTCAAAAAACATCTAACTGAAGCAAAATGCATCCCATGTCCCCTACAGTTCCCGCAATTCCTCCGCAATTCCCCATTATTTTTCCACAATTCCCTACAATTTTTCAAAATTGCCCACAATTTACCCAAATTCACAACTCATTTCCCCACAATTTTCCCAAATTCTTCCCACATTTTCCCCGAATTTTCAACAATTTTTCAAAATTCCACCCACATTTCCCCACAATTTTCGGAAATTCTCTACACAATTCCCACCTTTTCCCATATTATACCAAATTCCCCACAATTTTTTTCGTTCTTCGTTGTTTTGTATTTTTTTAACCTTAAAATTGTGAACAGGTAGATATCAACTCATTGAAATAATTTCTCTATGGCGCAACTCTTAAATTATTGTGTATTTGCAAAATATATTGTGATTTATTCGTGAATCACCCTGTAACAGTAAATATTTTAAACTATTCCTTTTTATGAATATCTGACCTAAACTTAAACCTATATATGATACATAAAGTCAATCTAGTTTTTCATTTTGAAGAAAAAATAACTTACTTAAATCAGCAATTCTCCACTTGACCTGTATCTCGAAATCTGGAATATTGAATTTAAAATTTACACCTCTTAAAAAGGTGATAAAAGTATTATATACTGAAAAAATTGTCACATTTGACCAGGAATATTTTAAGTAGCCGAAAAACCATCCAACCGAAGCAAAATTTCAAGGTCACGAAAAAATTATCTAACCATAACAAAATTCCCCCTAAAAAACATATATCCTAAACAAAATTCCTCCCGTTTCGTCACAGTTCTCCCACAATTCCCTCTTATTTTCCCATAATTCCTAACAAAAACATTTCTCCACAATTTTCCCAAATTTCCCACACAATTCCGTACATTTTACACTAATTTTCCACAATTTTTCAAAATTCTCAAATTCCTCACAATTTTTCCAAATTCTTCCCACATTTACCTACAATTTTCGCGAATGCCCCCATAATTTTCCCGAATTTCTTTCTTATTTCCACAAGATCCCCTCCCCAATTCCCCACAATTTTTCCAAATTTCCTACATGTCTTTCCACAATTTTCCCGAATTATTACACCACATTTTTTTCCGTTATTCGTTGTTTTTGTACTTTTCTTAATATAGAATAACTTCCAATAAATAAATCACCTCGTATATTTTGAATCTTAGAGGTACACATATTTTAGTGGCATTATCTTTCCCAAAAATTTATTCATAAGTACAGGGTTTTGAATTATTCCATTATAAAAAAAATATTTTATGTTGTGTTACTCTATATAAAACCAAAATACCATATTAAGTAGTACTTTTTAGAATTAGTGATATTTTGCAAAAAAAACTTTCGTCAAACATTTGTGAATCACCCTGTAATTAAAAACATTTTTAATTATATGTATGTACTAATATAGTATTACTAAAACATGTAGTAAACGTGTATATACAACAAAAATTCAATCTAGCTCGTAAGTTTGAAAATAAAAATTCCGAAAAACTGGTCCCTGTAACTTCAAAACTAGTCACATGATTGAGTTGGGCCCAAGTTTCAGAAAATTTAATCGGTTTGCATCGGCTTTACATAAGGAAAGTGCAAAGTCCTTTTAAAATTGATTGTCTCAAGAATTTTATATCTGAATCTTAATTAACATATCAAAAATATGAAATATGAATTTGTACAAGAAAAATCTAAAATATCAGTTTTATCATATAGAAATGTTTCTATAATTTACTTAGATTATATTCAAGTAATAATAAGAAAATAAAATGTTCTATATGTTCTAATAGCCTACAATGGATAAGATAAGAAAAAGTTAATTCAATCAATGTTTGATGTATCTTTTTCTTTAATAATAAAATAGTAGGTAAATATTACCCAAAAAAAATCATCGATCGGTGTTGGATGTAACAGACCCGATATTCCATGGTAAAATGACAAACCAGTTCCTACACAAAATATTCCAACGCCTGAAATAAGCGACGACACATACTTCATATTGGAATACCCATACGGATGATAAGAATCTGCAATCTAATATATTTATTGATAGAAAATCAATTTATAAAAAAAATAACATGTATTTAAATTTCAAATAAAATTCACTATCACGAACACATTAAATTACCTGGACTGATTTATGAATACCATAAGCCAAAATCAGCTGATTAATTGTGTCTGCCAAAGAATGAATACATTCTGAAAACATACTGTGCGATCCAGTGAAAATCCAAGCAAATAATTTAAATAAAAAGTTTGTTCCATTTCTGAAATAAAAATATTAGTGTAGAATATAGATAAAAACACGCCGTTTTAAAATTAGAGGTAAATACTTTTTTAACGTTTTATTTTATTATACAAGTGAAAATAAAGCATAAAAAAAATTCCTATAAACATAACCAAAAAATGTCTTTTGTCTTTTATTTTTAGCAAAACTAATAGAAACATTACGATTATCCTAATTCTATTAGTCTGGTGGAAGCTGATGATTTATTATAACCTAATAACTACCACCATGTTGCTTTTGTGGCTACTCTATCATTATCTGTTAATTGTAAAAATCTTCAATACTCAGAACATTACTATGATTTCAAAAATGCTGATTATAAAGGTTTGAATAACTATTTAGTTATTTAACTATTTGGGAACAAATTCTCGATAAAACTGATATTAACTCAACTATAGCTAAGTTTTATCAAATAATCAATAATGCATTAACCTTATTTGTCCCAATAAAACAAAGAAACCAATCTACTTCCTCGGGTTGGTTCAGTCCTGAAGTTAAACAACTTATTTGGCAAAAAAAGAGGGCTCATGCAATATACAAAAGTACTTCCAATTATGACTATTTACAATTTTCAAGCTTAAGATACAGGTGTAAGACTTTATCCAATGAGTGCTATGCTAGTTATATAAACAATGTTAATAGGTCAATTTCAAATGATAGAGTACGATTCAACTAAGAAAAAGCCACACACATCATACCTGACAAAGGCCGCAATAATTTGCCTCTCTCTCAGGTCCATCCCATTTAAGCGTCAGTGGCGTTTTGGCGATTTTTTTCGTTTTTCTAATATAGAGATACAATTGCTTAATAATTTGGCAACGCTGTACGACTGCCGCATGGTCCAGAATATAATTCGAACAGAAGCTATCGCGTAAACATGGATCCCTTATTCGGCATTCCAACGACCTGTCAAACAATAGGTGCCAGTGGGAAATTCTTGTATATTTAAGGGGGTAGGGACATAGTCTTGCAATTTGGACGCTATTTTTATTCGAAGTAGTACTCGCCAAGCCTGCCAATTTATAAAGAAATGTATAGGTGGGTTTTTTAAATATTATTTTTATTGTGTTTGACATAAAATATTTAAATGTAATCCATTATTCATGATTTTACGTAAAGTAGATAGAATACACCATATGTCGCCACCCTTAGATATACCAAACCTGCCCACTGGTAATTAATTTGTTTGGAATGCCTAATTATTGTGAGCCAAACTTCGGCGTTGCCAAGCTTTTACTTACGAATAAAAATACAAGTTCATCGGAAGAAAGTGAAGACAGCGAGAGTACTATACTCTGTTTTTAAACTAGGAGGAGCGAATTGAAAAGACGCATTTACACAGGGAAAAGTAACTAGATTTGTTACTAAGAGCGAGTTTCGAAATATAGTCGTATTCAAAATTTATGAAATAATTATCTTTATTGGCCTTAGTCGGTGAACGGCCAATGAGCGGTTAAGAAACGAACAAATGTCATAGAAGTAATTTTTTAATTAGGCATTCCAAACAAATGAATTACCAGTGGGCAGGTTTGGTATATCTAAGGGTGGCGACATATGGTGTATTCTATCTACTTTACGTAAAATCATGAATAATGGATTACATTTAAATATTTTATGTCAAACACAATAAAAATAATATTTAAAAAACCCACCTATACATTTCTTTATAAATTGGCAGGCTTGGCGAGTACTACTTTGAATAAAAATAGCGTCCAAGTTGCAAGACTATTAGTGGATTCGACTCAAATGCTCTTGCTCGATGACAAAGCGCTTTTAGTTCTGAATTGATTTTGGGTAGCATTTTTATAATTCAAATTTATATCTAGCAGTGTACACAGCAAGCACGAGCTAGAATTCGACATTGGTGTAGCGCATCTTTATCGTTATTTGACTGGCACAGTTAGCCCTTGACATTTCAGGTTTCTAACAAAGTTTTAACGATATTTATTTATAGTTGCCAAACCAAAAATTAAATTTCTATTAATTTCAAAGATTTTCCATTCTCACTAATAATAAAAACAAAGATGGCAATATATTTAAATATATTAAATAATTCCTAACCTCCTAAATTACACTGGCACTGGAAAAAAGTACAGTTCCAAAAAATTCGAACTTTGAGCAAGAACGCCTGCCAGTCGAACAAAAATTTCACTATGCCTTGATACCGAGCAATTTGAGTCGAATGCAATAATGGACTTTTAATTCATTAGGTTTTGTCAGTCGAACAGACACCACTCAAAAAAGTCGATCTAAATGCGCATTAATGCAACCAGTCGAATCCGCTATATGTTGCTACCCCCTTAAATATACAAGAATTTCCCACTGGCACCTATTGTTTGACAGGTCGTTGGAATGCCTAATTGGTCCCAGACAACGGTCGCAAATTTCACATTATTGTGATCTGAAATGTGTCTAAAACGAAATGTCACTGTCAAATTAAAGTCAATATGGTTGTTGATTGATGTCAGAAATACTTTTTTCTTGCTTTTGAAATCGACTTTTTGAGAATAACTATGATCTTTTTAAAATGGATATTAAATATTTAAGAAAATTGTTAATGGAATATCCAGTTGTAGCCAGGTTAGTATAAAATATAAAGATCTGTTTACATTTTTAAGGATATATTTGTTATAGGTATAAAAAGTTAAAGAATCAGTGAATGACAAGTGGATCACACAGTAACTGGTATCTCTTCTATGAGTAATGTGGATATTATGGCTTATTTAGTGTTAATCCATGGTTAATGCGCTAGAGGGCAAATAAAGGCATTCAAAAGTTCACAGGCCTATGAGTCAGAATTTGTTTTGAAAACTGGAACCAACATTTTCATAACACTACATGTCAACATATATTTTTTAAAGTGAACTATTCACACATACCTATGTATTAATTTTAAGTATTTTTAAAATATTTTTTGTGAAAGTAATGTTAACTCATTGTGCCAAATTAAGATTGTCCCTAAAGTAGTAGATGGTGTTTTAAATGTTATAACAATTTTGTAAATAGTTTTATTCTATTCTAATAAATAAAATTTGCTTGAATATTTAGTTACATTTTAATCATTTTGTTTAGAAATTCATCAATTTTTAGTTTTAAAAAATCAGTAATAAAATTATTTTTTTCTAAAATACTTCGGAATTCATCTCTTCATGGTAATCTCCCATCTTTTTACCTTCAAAAACCAATAATGCATTTTCTACAAAACCTTCAGAATCAGCATGTAAAATAATAAGGTGTCTTCCCTTTCTTGTAAGGCTTTTCAGGAATTGCTACCTTTAATAGTACTCAGTGTAGAAGGATCCATAATTGTAGATTTTCAATACAATTGCTTACTGAAGAACTATTATTTTCGAAATAAAGTAAAAAACTAATAGCGGATTCGACTGGCTGCATTAATGCGCATTTAGTTCGACTTTTTTAAGTGATGTTTGTTCGACTGGCAGAACCTAATTAATTAAAAGCCAATTATTGCATTCGACTGAAATTGCTCAGTACCAAGGCATAGTGAAATTTTTGTTCGACTGGTAGGCGCTCTTGCTCAAAGTTCGAATTTTTTGGAACTGTACTTTTTTTCAGTGCCAGTGTCATTTTGGAGGTTAGGATTTATTTAATATCTTTAAATATATTACCATCTTTGTCTCTATTATTAGTGAGAATGGAAAATCTTTGAAATTAATAGATTTAATTTTTGGTTTGGCAACTATAAATAAATATCGTTAAAAATGTGTTATAGCGGATTCGACTGGCTGCATTAATGCGCATTTAGTTCGACTTTTTTAAGTGATGTTTGTTCGACTGGCAGAACCTAATTAATTAAAAGTCAATTATTGCATTCGACTGAAATTGCTTAGTACCAAGGCATAGTGAAATTTTTGTTCGACTGGTAGGCGCTCTTGCTCAAAGTTCGAATTTTTTGGAACTGTACTTTTTTTCAGTGCCAGTGTCATTTTGGAGGTTAGGATTTATTTAATATATTTAAATATATTACTCTGATATTACCATCTTTGTCTCTATTATTAGTGAGAATGGAAAATCTTTGAAATTAATAGATTTAATTTTTGGTTTGGCAACTATAAAAAAATATCGTTAAAAATTTGTTAGAAACCTGAAATGTCAAGTGCTAACTGTGCCAGTCGAATAAGGATAAAGATACGCTACACCATTGTCGAACTCTAGCTCGTGCTTGCTGTGTGCACTGCTAGATATGAATTTGAATTATAAAAATGCTGCCCAAAATCAATTCAGAACTGAAAGCGCTTTGTCATCGACCAAAAGCATTTGAGTCGAATCCGCTATTAGAAACCTGAAATGTCAAGTGCTAACTGTGCCAGTCGAATAAGGATAAAGATACGCTACACCATTGTCGAACTCTAGCTCGTGCTTGCTGTGTGCACTGCTAGATATGAATTTGAATTATAAAAATGCTGCCCAAAATCAATTCAGAACTGAAAGCGCTTTGTCATCGACCAAAAGCATTTGAGTCGAATGCGCTATATAAGTAATGGATGAGATATCAAATTATAAAATGTCAGAACTGTCAACAATATCAATTATTAGCTGATGTTCATGCTAAAAAGTAATGTGTGAAACTGACTGTAATCTAACCAATCAGAAGGCTACAGAATTGCCAACTTAAATTCAAATCGCTCCTCTTAGTTTAAAAACAGAGTATAATAGTTCATTAACGGACGAACTAGGATGTACTCCTCTAGTTTCACTTTTTGCACTAGTTGCATAAATAACTATTATTTTAATTGTAATAAAAATCTTAAATTACAAAATTGTGTTGCTATTTTTATTTACTTCCCACTGAATGTTTTGCAAGTCTAAAGTCGAAAAATATATGTAATGTTATTTTAGTTTAGTTATTTAGGTAATATACAAATGTTTAAATCATTAAAATTTAACTTTTTAATCCAATTAATGTTTTTTGTTGGGAAACTGCTTTAATTCTTATTTAAATAAGAGCCTACGCCACTGGTATAACGATCTGGAGCAACGGAGAAGGAATATTTTAAAGTGAGGCAGACGATGACTAGTTGATGACGCCCGTGGCTTTTTCTAAGTTGAATCGTACTCTACTCATTGACGAATATCTCACGTGGAAAGATCATGTACAATATTTCACCAGAAAGATTAGAAAATTAATTTTTAAATTCTATGAATTACGTAACATTCTTTCTCCAAAAATGTTTAAAGCTGTCTATCTCTGTCTTGTAGAATCAATCATAAACTATGGGTTAGTTGTTTGGGGTAATGCTGGTAGTACACTTGTCTCTAAGTTACAAATTGCACAGAAATATATAATTAAAATTATGCTTTTTAAAACAGAAGATATTCAACCGAACTGGTTTGTAAAAATAGTAATTTATCAACTCCTTATCAACTTTTTTTGAAATCGATAATCAGATTTATGTTAAAAACTAACCATTTTAAACAAGGATTGTCTCATAGCATTAATAAGTACTAGACTGGCTGCTAAAAAAGATTTATGGCTTCAAAATCCTAAATATACTGCATGTCAGAACCATATCTATTGTGTACGTCCTAAGGTATATAATTGTTTACCTGAGGAATTTAAAAATAAGTCATATCATAAAATCTAAAATAGGATAAACCAATGGATAGTTGAAACAAATTTTTCCTTTACTTTTTTTTTTTTAATATAACGTCCACTAATCCTAAAATTTATTCATTTTCAGTATCTGCTTCTCTAACTATTAATATTAGATCATTTGCAGGTAATTTTAAGTAAATGTGATTTATATCTAATTAACCTCTTTCTAAGAACGTATATGTGTCATTAAACGCGCACCCAGCATAATGCAACCAGTAGACGGAGACAAGGTTTAATTAATTCTTAGCAATGAGAAAAAATGAATATTCAAAATTAGACCATTAAAAGTTTTTTCTTCTAATTTATAAGTTCTTGATTACTTTGAATGTTAGTCTACTAATGAACTTGAGTCGCACTGTTAGGTAATTAAGATACCTTGTTTATATTTAAGTTATTGTGTATATTTATGTAATAATTTGTAATTTAAATTACTGTAAACTGAATGACTAATAAATAAATATTGCTGAATCTATTGACAACAGAGCCCAAACTGATGTTATTTACACAGAATTTTCCAAGGCCTTCAACTGACTTAATCATGGCATTCTGCTCAACAAACTTTCTACCTCTTTAATTTCACTGTTTCAATTCTATCTATGGGATCGAAAACAAAATGTCCAGCTCAATGGTTTTAGATCTGCTGAATATAGTGCTTCTTCCGGTGTTTCACAAGGGTCGAATCTGGGACCCCTCCTTTTTATTATGTTCATTAATGATATTGCAGATGTTATAAATGTAAATTTCCTTTTGTATGCTGATGATCTAAAACTATACTTTCTCGTGGAGAAGATAGGCGATTGCGAGAACCTCTCAGCAAATTTAACGCGGGTTGTAGAATGGTGTTATCAAAATAACGTCACTAAACCCGGATAAATGTAAAGTTATGTCCTACAGTTTAAAAACGAATATCCTAATATTTAATTATTCAATAGAAAACGTTGCCCTTGAGCGACCAAAAACATTTACTGATCTTTGCGTCACGTTTGTCACTGCACTATCATTTAATAAGCACATTGATAATGGTGTATCCTCCTCCTATCGCATGTACAGATTAATTGCACGTAACAGTAGTGATTTTAAAGAAACCTCTAACTTAAAAACTCTATTTTATGCTTTTATCAAAGTTAGAATATGCTTCAGTTGTGTGGAGTCCCTTTTATCAGTATCATATATATCGAATAGAAGCAATTCAAAGACGATTTTTAAAACTGCTAAGCCTGAAAACTGATGGTATTTAGCCTCTAATAGGTACACCTCACTCTGAATTACTACAAAAGCATAACTTTTTCAGTCTCGAAAGAAGGCATGATTTATAGTGTAGTAGTAACTTATAAAATTATTAAAAGTATTATTACCTGCCCAACCTTATTAGGAAAGTTTAATATTTGCATTCCCAGATTTTCTTCCAGACACCCGAATACTTTTATATAAATACATCTCGCACAAATGTTCTGGAAAATTCTCCGCTCCATACCATGTGTACAGTAATGAACTTGATATATTAGTTGAAATTTGTCAGATATAAAATTCGAATTTTTATCTTAGTAATTTGTTAACTATTATGAAATTATTGTTCATATAAAAAATCTGTAATTTATTAATAATTATATTCTGTCAATTCCTGCTCTGTAATTGGGTTTATGACATGTAGAGTATTGTTTTATAAATAAATTACAATAATATCCTCATTGCTCTATTTTCTAATTTCAAAAGCCTGTTGGTTTCAATCTGATTAAGTAAATAAATAATTGTAGCATAATAAATGAAATGAGGCAAAATTTTATTATGATGTTATATAAAAGAATCAATGACCATTTATTAAGATATTTTGAGCAATTGTAATTGATTTTAAATGCAATTGTTTTAACTGTATAGTTTGCATGATCTTTAAAAAACAACATATGGTCTTCTACTACTACTACTACTAGTATTTATTTTTTTTTGCGACTTTAGTGATATCATTTTCATAATATTTACAGTAAATTTATTGTAATACCTAACATTCTCGATTCTCGATCATAAACTTAGTTTTATTAATATTTACTTTTAATGAATTAAAACAGAACTAATCATATATTTGCTATAATGGGGCATTTATAGTAGTGGTTACTTCCTGCAATTAGCAGGATAAACCAGCAGAGTATCATTTGCAGACAGATTCATAGAGCAACCACCTGCAACTTGAGAAATAGCATCAATACATAGAAGGAACAATAATGGGCCCAATACGTTTCCCTGGGGTACACCTAATTCAGTTTTTAGTTCTTTTGATAAAATATTTTTAAATCTTAATTTTTGTTTTCTATTGTTCAGGTAACTTATAAGCCCTTGTAGTGCATTTTCGATAATACCAAAACTTTTCAATTTTTTAATGAGTAGAAATTGATTTATTGTTTTAAATGCTCTTTGTAGGTCTAAAAAAGAGCACCTGTAATTAACTTGTTGTCAAGATTATGTTTCCAGTCATTCAAAACATATTGTACTGCATTCTTACAGCTGTGTTTAATACGAAATCCTGATTGATTACTATTAAACATATATTATTGTCTTACAAATATTGAATTAGTTGATTATATAATAGGTACGTTCCCTAAAAAAAATTCTACTGTACAGAACATATTAATAGAACATAAGTCCACTGCCCTATTTGAATTCTCAACCTTAGCTATTGGTGTTATTATTGAAATTTGTAGGTCGTTTAAAACTGTATTAGTTTCTAACAAGGGATTTATCATCTTTATCAATTGAGGTAGAGTAATATTTTTGAAACCGTTTTAAATTTTAGGTAAGACTTGTATAATATTAAATTAATATACTTATACTAACATGACTACTGCTGTAAGTACAACTTTTCCTGATCTACCCATCAATCCAGACTCTTCTTCAATAACATCTGTAGATCTACCCATTTCTCGTCTAAAATCTCTTAATCTTCTTTTAACAGTAAATATATCTGAAATCATAATAATGTATATTATTATGATTTATACTTCTTTATCAGACCCTAATGCTTAATAAAGTCACCTAAGTTTAAAAAAAAAAAATACTGTCACTAATATTTAAATTAACTCACTTTGTTGGTATTTCTTTTTTTCAATATCTCGTTTCAATAATTCTTTTTGTAAATTTTCGTGAGTACCCCATACCTCCAGAGCTTTGGCTTCAACATCTCTCCTCCAATATACAGTAATGGGAGGTTCAGATTCGTAGGGAGATCTCCTTTTTGTTTTAGGAAGGCATTCTAGATCTGATGGCTTCAGCAAAAAATCTGACATAGCCTTTACTGGTGTAATAAAATTTCTTTCTAATGACTGACATGATAAATCCACTCTCTTCCTTTTTTTCACTAGAGGTTTTGCTAAACAAGAAAAATATTTTGTCCGTCTATTTTTTGATCAAAATACAATTTTTATAGATTAATAAATAATAAAAATATAACTTACTTTTATCAGAATCTTTCTCTCCTTTTCCAATGATTTTTTCTTTTAACTTTTTGATTGAATCACTGGATAATTTGGGACGGTTCTTATCGGTTTCATTCTCATGCAAGCTCTTTTCTTTGACATTTTCTAAAATTGCGGATTTTTCTTTTTTTGATATTTTTAGATCAGGTGATATAACTTCGAGAATTGGTTTGTCTTTATTGATTCTAGTTTTGCTGTCTTTGTTTTCAACTTTACTATGTTCATTTTCGATGTTATCTTTCTGTATTTTATGCAAATCCTCTTTTTTCTCATTATTTAACAAGCTTGCCAATGACACTGATCGCCAACCAATTCTTTTTTCAACTCTATAGAATATATTAATATGTCTAACTGAAATAAACAGAACAAAATATAGATCTGATTTTTTGTATAGGTATGATTGTGGTGATTATGATTAAATCCTAAGTTTACCATAAGTATATGACCCATTTTAAGTATTTATTTATTTTCAATATAGGTTCTTATTGATTTTTTTTTTCATTGTACATATTTACATAAAAGCGTTTGTCATATTTATAATAACTTTATCATTTTATTACACTCAATGTCTTCAAATAATAATACTTTGCTTTTATTTGAAGAAACTCCTAGTAACATCTTCCAATATAATTAGGAATGCATTTCAAATAATATCTACTTATACTGACCTTTTTGTTGAATATATTTTTTTTCGCATATATTTATACTCTGGAATAACACATATCTCGAAAATATTATACAATTTCGAGTTAACATATTTTAAAAAATTCTTTCACTTAAATTTTTAAGGTTAGCAGTTTGTATTGACATTTAGATACAGAGTTCGAACAGTTCACTCCGTGTACACGGAGTCACTCTGTCGCGTTTAAAGTACGTATTCATAAACAGAACTCAGCTGAGTCGGACTTAGGTAAGTTCGGTTATATCGGCTGAATTTAGAGATGGGGAGTAAGAAATCCGTAAATGTACTTACAGGGGGGGCTATTTTCAAAGTATGGGAGCACTCATTTCTCTCAAGATTCTCATCAGAAATGTCATACGTCAATGTGGAAATGTTGTTTTTAAAGGCATCGAGGATTAAAATTCTTAGGAAGATTTTAATTATCCCTAAATAAACCGAGAGAAACAGTCAGTTAGTTTACACTGGCCCTAAGAGCCCTAAAAATACGGTTTTACGTTAACGTATGACATTTCTCTTGAGAGAAATGAATTCTCTCGAGTTTGAAAATAGCACCCCAGTTACAGATTTGCTAATATACATCTCTAAATTCTAGTGTAACACCGGAACCACCTGGAACTTTAGAGGCGTTATAACCGAACTTCGAACGACTACTCAAGTCCGACTCAGCTGAGTTTTGTTTATAAATAGATGTTCTAAGATAAATAGGGACCTTATTATTTTCGCTGTGTCTAGGTACACGCTAACTTGTACGCAAATCTAAAAGTTAGATACACGCGAAACGTCATCAAGCCGATGATGTCATTATTTAGCGTGCACAAATATTGTATTTTTGGTACACGCTTACTTGTACAGTAAGTGTCAGTGAGGTTATGTATGTTTGTTATTTAATCGGGTTGTATTTACACTTTAGAATATTAATTAGTAAAAAGATTTCTTATTTTTTGATTTGTTTAGTGTTTGTTTGAATTTATTATGCAGTGTGGACAATTATTTAATTCTTTTAATGAGTTTAACAACATTTTAAAACAATATGAAAAATATAACAGACAAAAATTTGTGATTAAGGGTAGCAGAACTATTAAAATGGCTGAAAGGATTTTAAAGCGTAAATTAAAGGAAGACCTTAAATATTACGAAGTTCAATATAATTGTGTTCATGGTGGTGCAGTAAGAAGACGTGGAAAAGGCAATCGTAAAACAAGGTAAAAATTACATACTAATTTTATTATTGTCAATTTGTTATTCTGTGAATTTAATCGATATACCTAATTATTTAGGAATCTTCGGTACACCCGTGTTGAATGTGTATTTTATGTATGTTTTAGAACTTACAAAATGAATTGTCCAGCCATAATCAAAATTCGGGCTACTAAGACAGGTGATTTTCTCCAAATTAAACAATTAGTGGAGAAACATGAAAATCATGAAATGTCAGAAGTAAGTGTAATATGTACTTTTTTGTATTTTTTTTTATTTTAATGGTTATTTGTTATTTTATAACCCTCTCTCTTTCAGGTGGTGTACGATTATTTGCCATCAAACCGTAAGCTAAACTCTAATGAACAAAGTATTGTCGAGAATTTAATGGATGTCCGTGGGAATAAAAAGCTAATTCAACAAAAAATATTGTGTTCAACTGGAAAATTGAGCACATTGAAAGATCTATCAAACATTGCATATGGTATGAAAAGTGCTAGTAATGATTTAGAACATGTAGTAAAGGAATTGAAAAATATTTACAGTGAGTTACTATTATAGATATAATATACGTATACAGGGTGTCCTGAAATTAGACGGTAATATTTTAGCAGCGTAAACTTCATGCTAAAATAGGAGTAACAGTTCATTTAAACATAGGTCTGAAAACGTTTCGTTTTCAAGATACAGGGTGTTAAAAGTTAAGTCCTGATGACACATTTTTGTAAATATTTTATAAACGTTTAAAGATAAATAAATGAAATTTGGTATAGATTCTGAACTTTTTACGTTATATTTAATGGGCTAAACCCCAGTTTTTGATCACCTTCATAGACGGGTTAATTAGGGGGAGCTTAGGGTAAAATTAGTTTAAATAAATAGTTTAAATAAATAGTTTAAACGTCTACAGTTTAAGAAATAAATTCTCATCAATCGTTTTATTGGGCCAAGGCCAACCAAACCATTTGGAAAATACAAGATTGTGTATAAAATAAACATTTAAAAATTAATTAAAATTAAAATTTCTTTATTCACCGGTTTTCCAGGCTGAAAAAATAAATAAAATATTTGATTCCACAGGCCTACTAATTATTGTTTGCACTTTCGAATAAGATAATATGAACTTATCATGAAATTTTCAAATGCTTTTCTCTTGAAAATTGTGCGTCCTAAAATGTGTCATCAGAACACCCTGTATCTCGGAGACGAAACATTTTCAGACATATGTTTATATGAACTTTTACTTCTATTTTAGAATGTAGATTAAGCTGTTAAAAGATGACCGTCTCATTTCGGGACACCCTGCATATATATTTATTTTACAGAATGCAATGTTCACATTTTACATGATTCTGTAAACCAATTTAAAGCTCTATATTTTTCTACTGATTCCATGAGAAGAGCAATTAAATCCTGGCCTGAATTTGTCTCTATAGATGGTACCTATAAGTTATTAAATCTAGGATTTACTGTGTTTGTAATGATAGTCGAAGATTCGAATGGTCAGAGTGAAATCGCTGCCGTAGCCCTAACTGCACACGAAGACAAAGAAACATTTTCATGGTTTATGAATATTTTTAAAGAAGAGAATTCTATTTGTGAAAATAAAATAAAATGTTTTATGGGCGATAAGGATTTACTACAAAGAAATGTGATCAAAGAAATTTTTCCTCAAGCCCAAGTATATATTTGTTTATTCCACACTTTGAAGACTATGAAAAGGGAAATATCTAGAGAAAAAATTAATCTAACAAATCAGGAACGGAAGAACACTCTTGAACTATTAGAGAGTCTTGTCTACAGCCAAAGTGAAGAAGAATATGACAAAAATTATCAACTTTTGCGAGAAACTGCTTCACAGTCAGTAATTACCTACTACAACAAAAACTGGCATGACATAAAACACGAATGGACGGTTTACAGTATGTGTCATGGTAATTTATTAAATAGAACAAACAATAGGTTGGAAGCAATCAATGGAAAATTAAAGCAAGTAATAGAGAAAAACAGTAGCCTAGCACAATTCGTAAAAAGTTTTTTTTTCTTACATTCTCATGAGCATGAAAGGGATAATCGGACAGCTAGATTAATTTTAACAAGGCCTATAACATTGTTTAGTAAGGATAGTTGTGAATTCCAGTACGAAGAATATCTAACACCCTATGCAAGCAGGTATGTTCAGTTTCAAATCGTAGCCTCAAAAAAAGTTGCAGTTACTTTAAAAGATCGTATTTTGAATATATATGAAGCGGAGTCAAATGGGAACAAATACAATGTTTTAGTTAGCAAATAAATGTACTTGCATACACTTTACATAAATGCTTCTACCCTGTAAGCACATTTTTGTCACTAGAACAGTGGAAAAAATAAAGTTATTTGACAAAAGTTTATGCAATGAAAGATGGTCAAAAGAATTTTATATAAAACATCAAAGGGTTGCAAAAGGCGTTACCACTACAAGCGAGAACATTTCTTTGCAACCCTTTTCTGTGACACAGGCTTGGTTCTTCTAGTGTACAGACAGTAAACCAAAAGAGAAAAAAGGCTCTTTTTATGACAAATTCGTTGGCAAATTTAGCTAGTCTATCTTCCGGTAGTTCATTTATTTACAAAATGAAGATACTGGAAGCAATAGAAACTGTTTGGAGAGAAGGTCATGAAATAGCCATAAATGTAATTCCTAGCAGCACTGACGAAAATACAGATCAGAGCATTACAAATAATGAAGATCCAAATGATTTTTTTGACATATCTAATGTACACATTGAATTCATAGATCTAAACGAAGAACAAAATAACAAGGAAATTGTATCTGTAAATGGACATGGTCAACTAACTATGCCAAAAGACATCTTGGACTCAAATATAACTGGTTTGTTGAGCTTTAAAATTATTGTTAAAATAAACTTATATAATTAACAATATTCCTTCTTTTCTAGCTGATGTTAATGAGATTTTAGTAACTGACGAATTGCCTAATGTAGAAGTTGAATTCAAAGATCTAATGGAAGAACAAAATAACAAGGACATTTTATCTATAAATGGACATGGTCAACTAACTATACCAAAAGACATCTTAGACTCAAATATAACTGGTTTGTTGCTTATTTGATATTATTGTTAAAATAAACTCATATAATTAACAATATTTTTTCTTTTCTAGATGTTAATGAAATTTTAGTACCTAACGAAGAAAAAATTTTTACTGAAAATTGGCAAAAAATCGAAAGTGGACATGGGGAATCAGTTTTAACTATGGAAAGCAACGAAAAAATCAGAAGTAAGATTTTCATAGATACGTTTTATTTGTAATCGCTATAAAATATTATTTTTTTTAGTAATAAGTGAAATAGTATTACCGCCCAAAATTAAAATAAAAGGAAGACCTAAAGGAGCCGATCAAACCGTTATTGGATTAAAGCGAAGACAAACTAAAAAATAATTTTCTGAGCTTTGACAATAATAATTATCTTATGTATAAAAATTATTTTTACAGTATTTTGTACATGTCATGTCAACTAAATGTATATTTTGCTAACCTGAATATATATTTTTTTCTACTCCTATACTATAAGTTATTAAGACGACTCTCTATGTGAACCGGCGTTGAAGAAAAACATAACCTCGAAATTTTTATCAAAAATGAGGGCTGAGGGAGGGAAGGGTTTTTTTTATTTCTTTATATTTTATTTTTTTTTATTAATTTTATCAAAACTAAAACAGGTCTTGCGGGATTTTTATATAAATAGTAAATTTTGCAATGTTTTTTAAAGTCATAGTTATTAAATATATGGTTTAAAAGTAAACTAGACATTTTAAGTTAAAGTTTATTTACAAAATCTCCAGTAACTATAAGAATTTAGACGGCGAATATTCAGATATTTACATATATGAAAGTAATTATTCTGGTGTTGGATTGCGAATTTCCATTATCCTCAGATATATAGCATCAATTATTTCGGGTAGGAGACAGGTGTAGTAAAATTATTATTAATACATGATTGTTGCATAATATACTATATACACATTGATTTATTACAATTAAATTTGAGACATCTCGATAGTTCTGCTACCCTTCCCTTAATCACAAATATTTATCTATCAAACGAACACTAAACACACCAACAAAATAGAAAAATTAGCGTGTACCAAATATACAGTCATAGAGCACGTTAAATAATGACGTTATCGGCTTGATGACGTTTCGCGTGTACCTAACTTTTAGATTTGCGTACAAGTTAGCGTGTACCTAGACACAGCGTATTATTTTTAAGAAAGTGGGTTATTTTGCTGTCTATTGTGAAAATCTCACTTGGATTTTTTTTTATGAAATAAATGAAGTTGTAATTTTGTATTATTTATTAAACGCATATTTAAAAAAAATGTTTTAATGGTATTTTATTTATAATATTCCTAAAGATTTTTCCACGACGGCATGAGGTTGACAGGAAACTTCCGAAAATTCTGATGTATTAAATACGTCTTCAGGTCCAATATCAACATCTTTACCCATTAGAATATCGTACATGGTGTTAGATGATGATAAGAAAGGTAAACGTCCAATTCTTTTTGCAGATTTTAGTTCCATGTTGATACGAAGAGGGGCATGCAAACCCTGAGTGTTTCTAAGAATGGTTAAATTCATTTTGTTCAGGTTTTCTTGATGCTGAAAAAGGTGTTTACTAGTTAAAGATCTTTCTAAGATCTATATTTTTTCTAAAATGTAACAATCATGAACACTTTAGCATTAAAAATAATAAAAAAAATACAATATGTTATGTTGTTTCTCAAAATTTCGATTAGTCTATGTGCAAACTCGACCATTATGTATTAAATAGGAATCCCAGTCTGTCAAACGAAGTTAGACCTATCAAAAAATGAGAATCCCACTGAAGATTTATGGCATTTCTTATCTGAAATGCCAGTTTATTTCTAATGCTTACCTTAAGTTTAGATGCTGCCATGGGATGGGGAACATTAGTACTTTGTTTTGATAATGGGAGTCCATGTTTCATTAGATCTTGACCTCCATAGGTTTCTTCATGTACATTGAAGCTTTCTACTACGAAAGGCTTTACTTTAACCGATGGTAATGAAAAACTCTAAAAAAATAAATCATTTTTAATAACTATAAATAATATATTAAAAAATATTAAAGAAAATACTTAATAGGACTGAATTGTTATAAAGTTGATTATTATATTAACACACTGAAGTAAACTTGATTGTTGGCCTTTAAAACAATTTCAAAATCATGTTTATTAATTAACTGTCTTTTTTATTTTTTTAAAAATCTTAGAAAATGAAAATATGCTCAAACTAACAATTTTTTTTATTAATTTGCAATTTGTTTTTTTAACTTTCCTTAGAGAACGATTGGTTTAAGTTCGTTTATGGGGATCTCTATACTATTTTATAGAATTTAGGGTTTCAAATACTTCCACAGCGGGAGATAGGGTCATCATATTCACAAAACCCCAAAGCAAATGCCTTCAATTTTTAAAATTTACTTTTGGTATTTTCTAACTTACCTAGATGTTTTCTCATTTGATACTCCATCCGACATTAATGCTGTGATACTGATTCAAGCATAAAATCAGAAAAAACAAATTTGGAAGAATGAAAAAAAAAGCATTTGCTTGGCTTTTATGAATAGTCCATTGTCTTTTGGCCGCTTTGGACTCATAATTTATTAAACCTTATTAATAATGAATGTGTTAATATAGTGAATTTAGATATAATCAATTTATGTTTTGCAAAGTAATTAAAAATAAAAACTTACCATTTTTAAAATTTTTATTTTCTCAAGTCACTCTACTCCGGACGAACTTCAGTCTGCTATGTCAAATGTCATGTCACTTATTCTTCTTCCCGACGTCCCGACTTCCGTATGTGAGTTCGGTTATTCGATCATTCAATTTTTTTAAAAGAAATAAAGGGTAAAGGTAAATTTTAATCGGTACTTCCTCAGATAAACAACTAACGTGTGTCTTTTTATCTAACTGTTGCAGCAAAGAGTATAGTTAACTCAAGAGATCGCACTGAAATGTCAATCGATCTGAAAGTCTGTGACCTTGAAAATTTAAAATATTTTACGCGGGTAAATGTATCTAATCTAATATAACTTAGCTTTCTGATCATTTCTCTTTTTGGTTGTTCAAACATTTATTTATGATCTAATTTTATTATAAATCTGTATTTTTTTAATACGAAATTACATCATGAAGGTTTATGCAGTGAAAACCTGCAAAAATATTAATCAATTTTCTAGATGTCATTTTTCTCATGTGACAGCAACCAACGCTCCGATTGGTGAGGCCAGACTTGTCAAAAATACTCCAGACCAATAGGGAGGAGGCATCGACGTCAACATTATTTTAAAAACAAAAAAAAAAACATAAATTTTGTAATAACCACACTAATTTTGTCTTCAAGTGGTTTAAAATCTGAATATTTTTTACTTCTCGATGTCATTTTTCTCCATGTGACAGCAACCAACGTGCTGATTGGTGACCCCAGACTTGTCAAAAACACCCCAGACCAATAGAGAAGAAGTGCCGAGGTCATTGAGATTTGAGCCAGACTTTAACATAGGAATTATAGGGAGTGACAGGCCTGTGGTTGCAGCAACGTTGGCATCGGTGCGGTATGTCAACTGTTATTTATTTCAACGGTCAACCAGAATCCAACACAAAACTTTCAAGGCCGCATCGGTGAAACATAACGTGTGTCTTTTTTTCCACCGGTTTGTTGCAACCGTTGTTTCACCGATGCGGCCTTGAACGTTTTTATGTTGGATTCTGGTTGACCGTTGAAATAAATAACAGTTGACATACCGCACCGATGCCAACGTTGCTGCAACAGTTGGATAAAAAGACACACGTAATGGTTGCAACAAACCGGTGGAAAAAAAGACACACGTAAATCTATTACTGTTATGTACATTTACGGATTTGTTACTACCCATCTCTAAATTCACGAGATATAACCGAATTTCGATTTTCGTTCAAGGACGACTTACCCAAGTCCGACTCAGCTGAGTTTTGTTTATAAATACGGACCTCAAGTGTAATACTGGTTGCATAGTCCTCCTAAATCATAATTTTAAACTAAATAAAAATAATGATTCATATTTTTAGATATTCATTTTTTTCTAAATAAACTAAATTAAATTAATAATTCTATTCATAGTGAATGTGAGTGAATAACAAACTTAGTTCTGCGAATTTTACTAGTTTTTTTTAATTTTATAAAAACAATTACCAATTTTTTCAAAATATATAACTGACCTATTTTTAATTGGTAAGTTTTATTATATATTATATATTTTTAAATTTACTTTGAATTGTGTGTGTATGTGTGTTCAGAATCATTTTTAATTTTTTCTCAATTGAATGTAACAAAAAATTTAGTAAAATATGTCCGGTATTTATTTTATATATACTGTGTGTAACAAAAAGATGTAAATTTAACCAAAGTTTCTGGGGTCAAAAAAGTCTGTTTAAGCTAACTTTTGCTTATTTAATAAATGGATATAAAAAATATAGGGTGTTAAAGTAGAACTTTTAGAAATGACTTTGTGTCCTTATTTTAAAACGACTTAATTCTTCACAACTTTTAAGTTATAGAAAATATCTTATTATTTTTTCTGACCAAGTATCTTATTTCTAGATAATTTTAACATGGGTGGTGTCGCAGATTTCATTGCAAGTTTCCATAATTTAGAAGGTGATTTAATAGGCGAAAGAAAAAAGAATTTGTACAAACTATTGAAGAAACCGTCCTTATTTTCAAACGAGCAAGAAATAAATGAGGCCTTACAAAAATTAGTTCCTGAAACTTATCAAGAAAGTGTTTTTTATTTAGAAGCATTAATATATTTCAAAAGGACCGAAAAATTCCTGGAAATTTTAAAGGGCGGAAATCAGTTGTTTGCTACCAAGATTCTCAAGCAACCATGGTTTTTTGAACAAGCTTTTAAAAACATCGAAGCAGGCGAATTGGTCAATGAGTTTTTGCCATATTTTTCATATGTTGTTCGCAAAAAGTTGCTTAGTAGAATTGCAAAATGTTGGGAAGAAAAGAAGATGGATGAGTTATTTAATGCATTGGACAAATGGTGAGTAGTTTACAAATAATTAACATCATAATTTTTATTATCTAATTTAGGAACATTTTTCAGTTATGGTCTTACAGAGGCGGTCGATATTTTGCATAAATGTTCTCCTGGCAAAATAATATCAGTTCTTGAAGAAAATGAGATCAAACTGCGACCAAATCAAGTCATACAATTATGCTCAAAAGGTGATGAAATTTTCAAGATTTACTTAAATCATTTTAAAAAGAACACTAAAGCTATATATGCAGAACAGAAAGTAATAAATTTCATAGCTTTAAATAAACCAAAATTGCTTATAGAATTAGAGAAAAATGAAACTATTATTGTGAATACTATAGGAAGAAGGACCACAAAGACCATAATGAAGACTTCTAAAGATGAAATATCTACCGACATTAAACGATATACTAATTTTTTGAATAAACATGTTGTTGTAAAAAAATGTTCCCCAGATTTTAAAACTGTTTATAAAACAGTATTTCCTGATAAATTTAATGATGTGAATTGGGATAACTGTGATCTGATATACTACTACCCAAAAAATAGAAGATGGAATTTGTTTGTTGGCACCTTCTTGGATAAGTTTCCACGCAAATCAGTGACTGATATCCTTCCGTCATTCGATGATGACTCGATAAAAAAAATTGAACCTCCCAAAGATGTTATCCAACAGTGGGCTAAAATTCTATATGAAACAAGTCCAAGTCAACACAACTACCTCAAGTATTATCCAACCACTGACGCCATTAGAATTATTAAAGAGAAAATATCTGTTACTTCTGATAAGTATAAACGGCGTACATTGGTGGAATTGTTGTTGGAAACGTGCGCAGATAATAAAGATATGGATTTACTTGAAGAGGTATTAAAATATATTTCAGAAAGGTGAGTAAACATTTTGTTTAAAATTATTGCTTTGCTGTGGTGTAAAAATGTTATTTTATATACAAGCCCAGTCCTGTGGTAAACGATTTTTTCTTTAACAGATGATCGAATTTTTAATTAAATTATTGAATTTTGTAAATATACAGGGGAGATTCGAAATATTTTTTAACAGGTAACCACTGAAGCACATTTAACATGGAATTGATTGGTTCCAATCTTGAACAGCTTAGTATTATCCTCATACTTCTATTCTGCAACTTTTGCAATTATTGCAAACTCATTCTGTTTGAACAAATACAATATAGTGGCAAAATAATCAAAATGAGGTAATATTACAGTATTATAATAAAACGATTATTTGTGAATGTAGTTCAAAAGTTTTTAACCAAATAATGCAAGAAGGTAAAGCTAATATTGGTTGGGAAAGATAGATATGAGGATATGATATGATGATACCAAAATGCTATCAGTGTCAAGTATATTACCATAATAAACAAAATTGTACAAAAAAAATTGTCTGTTCTCTTTGTGCTGAAGAATATCTAAGAGAAAACTGTCCTAAAACTAAAGTGTGTTTTGCTAATGGGCCATGTTCACATGTGAGATATGCTGTTTTATAAACTATATTGTAATAGTTAGTCGCTATACAAGTTATTCTAAATAATCAGTTCGTTAAAAAAACTAAAAGTTTTTAAATTAAGCCCAATTGAAATTTAAAATTTGAAATTATACGTCATCGGGAATAGACCAATCAGCTTGTGTCGAAGTTTTTTTTGTTTTACAAAACCAAGCCAACGAACAAACCTACATACAGAATGTCGAAGTGAACGCACATCTAAGTGACATTTAAAAATTGACAGCACCTAACACTAACAACTAACCTTAGTTTTTTGTTTTGGTTTAATTTTATTATTAATCTGAATTTATCTGGGTAAATTATCCTGTGGGATATAGGATATATAAAGGAAGAAGAATATGAATTTATCCGCTGTATTTATAAAAGTTGAATCAAGTATTTTTCCCATTGTAAACGAAAATATGATTACCGAGATGATTACTGCATTTTTTAACAATACTCAGTTTCCAAAAGATAGAAAGGTAAAACTTTATTTATAAATTGTTTTAATGGTAGGTAGTTACAGCTTATATGAAGCAGTACACTTTATAGTAAAACATATTTATCTCAGGTTTTATTTTTAGATCTGCCAAGCAAGAATATGGAGATATTTACTTTTTCCATAAGAGAGAAGGAGACAAATTACACCTAAACATAAAGTACAGCAAAAACCTTATGATGTGGCTGTTTTTTAGTGCACAATGCTTAGGATATGTTGAATCTCAAGGTTTGTAATATTTATTATGCTTTTTTGTTTTTATATCACATATAATAAACAGTGTATAAGGCCTTTTATTCTTATAAATATTTTTTTTTCTAATTTTGACATAAAGAGACATTTTTTGTAATCGCAGCAAGTGTTAAAATAATCTAGAAATAGATTTTGTTAGTGAACCTAGTAATAATTATGATACCAAAGAATGCTGCAGAGCACCTATGAAATTTTGAGTTAAAACATGCCATATTTTTAGGCTATTTTTATACCCTTTTCAAAAATTTTATGCTCCTCGTTTTATGCAAAACTTAAAATGCTCTGATAGCTTCGAACGAAGTCAGCAAAGCACCTCTGTTTTATAAAGTTTTTTCTGTAAAAACAGCAACACCATATATTTATGCACTTGAAATATTATATTTTTAAAAAATACATGGTGCTTGCTAACCTTCGAAAGAAGCCAGCAGAGCAATTCGGTTTTTTAAAGCTTTTTTCTAAAAACCACACCCCATTTTTAGACTCTTGAAATATTGTAAAACTTAACTAAAAAAATTGCTATTTTTAAATAATACAGGGTGCTTTGTTGGAACAAAGTCAGCAGGACACTTCAGTTTTTTAATATATAAAAACAACTACTTATGACACATGTTTAGGCTGTTTTAAAATCCTAAAAATGTGGTAAGTATATTTGTTTTCAGAAAAAAAACTTTGAAGTCAGCAAGGAATTGCGAATTTTTTTTAAAAATGTCAAATTTCGAATATTTTATAATATTGTAGGAGCCAAAAAATGTGGTGTGGTTTAAAAAAAAACTGGGGTGCTCTGCTGGATTCGTTTGAAGCTAACAAAGCATCCCATAATTTTTTATTTTATAATACTCAATAGCCTAAAATGAGACATAGCTGTTTAAACAAAAATGGTACTTTTAAAAATAGCAGTTTTTTTCGAAAAGCTCTATAATATTTCAAAAATGTGAAAATGTGGTGAGCTTGTTTTTTTTAAGTTTTGAAAATCAGAGGTTCTTTACTGGATCGTTCAGAGCTAGTAAAGTGCTCGTCTTGTTACATAAAATAAGGCATTTTGTAGCTGGTTGTATAGTTATTTTGTAACTGCATATCTAACCCTTTTATTTTTTTCAGGAGGTTGTAAACATGTGGCTTCATAGAAGAAGTGAGGAACCATCTGTAACATCTACTCAGTGTTATTGATAATGATGTACACTTGGCTAGATTGTTAAAGAAACCTCTTCATCCACTACAGGAAAATAAATCAGTACTTTTATATTCTTAGGATTTGTATATATTTTTTATTTGTAAATAAATTGTTTTTTTACTTCATTTTTCTCATTTTTTATTAAAAGGTTAATAAATAAAATTTTCACAGATTTTTATATTTTTGTTTGTAAACAATAATTGAAGTTTTTATTAAAAATCACCAATGTTAATAATAATAACTTAAGTCAATATTATTCTTTCTCCTTTTTTAAAGCCACTATTAATAAAGGTATTACTTTAGCTTGACCTATGATCAATTTTTAATTTTGTGATATATTTGGTTTGACAGAAAAAAAATTAAAACCCTTTGACATTGGTTGTTTTTACTTAGATTTTCATAAAAAATAAACGGAACTGCAAACATGTTTTACTATCGTAATAACGAATAGCAACATGAAATTTTTTTTTCACATTTATCACTGTTGTCATTTTCATAAGAAGGCACACTTTCTGGTTTTTTGAAAAAGGTGGCAAGCATTGTGATATTTTTAAATTTATCACCAGTGATACCACATGTAGTTACCCGATTTATTGGAATATATAGACTTTGCTACCACATTCAACTGAACTTGGTTTTTAATATTTATCACTGTGACATAGGCGTTTTTGTTAAAATGTTTCATTTTAAACTGCTGTAAATAGGTGCCTTTGTTTTGGTAGTTTTAGTCCCAAAAAAATCTATGCATATACAGGTACTCATTCCTCTTCGATTTGCTCGAAAAGTTAAATTTTTATCAAAAATTACATTGGCTGTTTAAAAACTCATTATAATCCCTGAAATGTGATAATTAGGTAAATTAAATTAAAAAACAAACAAAAAAGTTTATTAAATTAATATTTACTCTTACAAAATAGGTTCTTGTAAGTTAACAAGCAATTATGCAGATATTACTAAGTAAATGTACTTGCTTAAAATTCACACACGAATGTGGTTTTAACATGTTAAATTAACTAACCCTTCTTATAACTCTTTCCACATGTATTCTTAGAGATGCTATTCTTTTACTTAATTGTACATCTTCTGGAGAAGTTTTTTCATTCTGTGATACACTAGGTGTGGCTTTACTAAAGTGTATCCCATGTTTTCAAGTAGCTGATTATTCTGAAACCCCTATCTGCCATTATATGGGATCCAGGAACCAGTTTGTTTAAATACCCACATTTTTCCATTATTTCTTTATCACTAGTTCTTCCACAAAATGATGAATAAATTCGGTATCTTCAAAACTTTCAGGAGATTCTGCATTTTCTTCCAGAAGGGTTTTTAGGTTATACACCTAAGAATTTATAGTAGCCTTATTTTCAATTTCCTGAAGGGGACAATTAGCAGAAATTGCTGCTACATCTTGATAATCCGGTGTATTTTTATTAAAAAGTTCACGAGAAACATCGCTAGTAGAAGGTTGATTTTCTTCTTTCCAAATTTCTAGGAACACTAATAAATATTTTTGAAGATGAATGTGAATCATTATCACATTCTCGAACAAAACTTTTTCGTAGTCATAATATTTATAAAAAGTACAAAATTAAACAATCAAATTCCAAATAAATTCTTGATGGAGACCTTAGATTAAAGAGACCGAAGATGTAACATTGCACACTGCGCATGCTGTCTATTTTAAGCCAAAGTAACCCACCAATTGAAAATCATTGTTGCACGACGCCACCCGAATTGCTCCGATTTCCATTCAGCGATCACACCTCCACCTGAGTTTAATCACCATTGACAGCTGTTTTTTGATTTATTTGTTGGTATTTTAGCAATTTAAAGTGTTCTAGTTATTCAATTTCAAGTTCAAAATGTCACGATGTATCTTGAAAAATTGTATGTACTTATAATACAAGTACTACTGTTATGAATATATTCGTTTTCAGCGGTAAATATTTATTAACGTTTTGACATAAAGCGCCATGATTCTCTGGGCTGAATACTTCAGATCCACATTAAGGGGTTTCAATAAATATTAAGCATCAGAAATCAGATTTCATATTACATAAATTTACAAAAGGGTAAAATTTTGAACATTTAATTTAAATAAATAGTAAATAGGCATTATTGCGAAATTTTGTATTTAAAAAGTAGTTTTATAAGAATGTTTTCTAAAGGTAGTTTTTAGCCCTTTTTGGTAGATAAATAAGAGGTAAAGAATCATAGTTGCTAGCTAAATTTTATTTTTATAAGGTATTTTTATAAGAATATTAGATGAAATACAGGATGACCTACTTAAAATTTCAAGGTTCATCTTATTTGCGGTCAAATCGAAAGTGACATTGAATTTTCAGTCTTAAAACAAAGTAATCTAGTATAAGCAAAAAAAAATACTAAAGTTACAGGAGTTAGGTCCGATTCCACCGTTGTGTTAAACGGAGATTAAAATGACAGTGTTAATGTAAAAATGT